CCCAGGTGGTCGAAATTTCCGGAGCCCTCCACTACGACGTCTCTCATAATCAAATGGTGGTTTTGGGACGTTAAACCCCACATATCAATCAATCAATCAAGTTTACAACACTGCCAGGTTCCAGGCGCCATAATGCGACTGCTTCTTTATCAGTTAGGCTTTTATGTCGAAAGCGGCACCTCAATCCTGCGTAACCAGTAATCTTCGACGTTCTCCATGTAATTCTGCAGATGCTCGTTGATGTTCCGGCAGTAGACTGGCTTCACATTCAGGCGAAAGTCGAATGCTCGGGCTAGCTTGTGGGGCTCTCATTACCAGAAACAAACGTGTGTGCTCGGCTTCAAGACAGGTTTAATGCGAAGCATTTATTAGCGAACTTCGGCGACATTCAGCGTGTCTGTCTGTCTGTCTATTCCAGCCGCTTACGTTTGGGTGCTCTTGTGGTCACCCTCTTATTTTGGCGTGAACCAAAATAAGGATGGGAGAGTAAGATGGTTTGACGAATATGACGCATTGGTCAAGACAAGAATAATGTCAAAATCATGTCGTGTACGTCGTCAAACACTTCCCGCCAGACAGTGGCACATACCCACTGGCGGGTATGTGCCGCTGGTATGCGGGTGTGTGGTACAGGTGATTGACACTTAGTATCTACCCAGGAACGACGAGAACACATGGACAATTATAACGCGCGAGCGCTGAGAAATAGCCGACATAGCTAGCTTAGACCCGACGAATACAAAGAATAAATGTCAGGGTCCCAGCTGGAATCGAACCCAGGCATTCTGCGGGGCAGTGAAGCATTTTACCACAGAGCTACGTCTGGTCTGGGAACATCTTTTTAAATAGACGCTAATATTATTGAAACGTAAAAAGTGGTTGAAGTGCTGCCTACACATTTTTATGAACATTACATACAGCCGTCACGTCGGGTTAACGTCAATTGTGGTTAGTTTTCATGCGCTGATGTTAATTTATATAGCAGTATGCAGGGCCTGCATCCTCGCGAGCATCAGCACTCCATATCATCTTTTGGTGTAGCTATTACACACGTTCCATAGTTGGTATCATTGCGCAAGTGCAAACGATTGGTTATGTAAACATCTGCAACTCTTCAACATTTGTACATTAACTTAGCCTAATTTCATGAAGTGTCACTGAATAAAAAAATGCAACACGGTCACCTTCCCTCCACATGCTTTGCATAACGTCGATTCCCAGATTCGTGGGATCTGGCAATTTTTTTAGCCTTGTACTGGCCGGAACCCTTACAACTTGCGGCAAGATCCCGCGCTTCCCGACATTTAGGCCAACGCAGAGACGAGAAAAAGAGAGCACCAGGCTCCAGCTCTAATCGAACGCTTCTATTCAATGGACAGCAAGTCGGTTGTGAACGTGTATGCGGCAAGTGGAAAGTCGGCCGCGGTGGTCACCTCGATCGTCGACGGCTGAGGTGCCCTCGTATCGGCCGCCATTAAAAGCCGCAACACGCAAACGGCTGAAGAACTTGCGGTATCTCTCGCTTGCGTTGGGACGCTAGCCAGTTTCATCATTAGCGAAAGGTTTTTTTTTTAATTTGTTTTATTTGGCTAGTGTATTGCATTTATATGGTTGAGACATATTCGTACACAGGAGCCGTTTGCGTGTAGTCCAGGCTTCCGAGTGTAGGACCCGAGGTCTGGAACCAACAGCCAAAACATTTTTTTTTTTCGGGGCGAAGCACCTTATAGCGTCTCCACTTGTCGTCTTGTCATAAACGTCCCTCATAACCGGGTACGCCTGACAAGTAGTGGGTAAGTCCCACTACTTGGCACCAGTCCATACTACGCCTATCATGAGTTCAACATTCCTACTTACTAACATTATGATAGGCTTAGCAGGGGTTTCAGAATCTCTGACGAAATGTACCAAGGCACTCAAGTCTCTCGTTCCTTATCTAAAATCAGAAACACAGACGTGCGTCTGTACGGTAAAGTGAAGTATTTGAAACGCCACCTATTAAAACATATTTCCAAAGCGACGGTGGTTTGTAGCGTCTGAAGCAGCAAATAGGACAGACTTTATTGTGGCAGGCATCGGTGCATACAGATTCTTCGCCCCTCCCCGGTTTGGCGTTAGCGGACCTTAAGCATCCTCTCTTTCTGATTGCGCAGTGATTCCTCCTCTCCTTTTTTTTGTAATGCTCGTTGGTAGAAACATTTGTGCCAATGATATAAGGTTGATACTCCAATGTTTCCAGCCGTTCGCACGATAACGACAGACACCGAACACGAATTTACACGTGTAGCTTAAAGCAATCAAACGAGGCTGAACCGCGAGAATCTTGCGGCATACCTGCCGCCGTGTGGAGTTTACTCTCTAACTTTTTTTTTACTCTCTAACTCTCTAAATATATTCGTCAGAAACTCACATACATGTTTCTTTTTAAATGCGAAGCATTTATTAGCGAACTTCGGCGACTTTGAGTGTATCTATTTATTATCTAGCCGCCTATACGACTTTTAGCTCTCCTGGCCGTTTCGATAACGATATCGATATCAAACTTGGTATGGCATAACATGTCTGTAGGAAGAATATATTTGAATAGTCATAACATGAAAACTATGTATGACATGTCTGTCAATAATCTCATGATTTACATCTCATGGTCTTGCTGCTCTGGCGGTGGTTCCGTTCACATGACATGTTGCAAAACTGGTATGGCATGACATGATTGCATGGCCAACATAAGCGACAGACCCTTTCATGGAAATTATGACATGCGTATCATGTAACAACATGACTACATGCCACTTTCACAATGCGGTAGCTTCACATACACCAAATTCGGTATTTCGTGACGCCAACGGACGACGAAGGTAAATGACACGTCTAAATATGACGATTATGGCATGCGTGTCATGTAACAGTATGACTACATGCCACCCTCATCATACACTCACGGCCGTTTTGCTAGCATCGCATATACAAAATATGATATTACGGAATGTGAATGAACAACGCAAGGAATGTGACTGGTGCAAACATGATAATCATAAGATGCGTGTCATGTAACAACGTGACTACATGCCACGCTCATGATGCGCTCGCCGTCGTTTCGCTAGCTTCCCATATAAAAAATATGGTATTACGGGACGTGAATGGATGAAGAAGGTATGTGACTGGTGCAAACATGATAATCACGAGATGCGTGTCATGTGACAACATGACTAGAATGCAACGCCAAGGCGCGAATACACTTCGACGTGACCCGGAGCGCGTGCGCGCCGGCGTTCGATTCGTCACGTCAGGCCGGCGTATAGCCACGCCAGGCACCGGTCCTGCCATGTACTCGCAGGCGCGCGCCGCACTGCGTTGCTTGGACGCACGCGCGTTTCAGCGCGTCCGGCGTCCCTCCGTCCCGAAAACAGGCAGACGCAGTGATGTATGAGTAACGCATCAGCACGAAATGCAACATGTCGCATTTCACACCAGTTGCCATCGGGCCGGTGGTCACGTCTGTCGCGCCTGGCGTGAGACTATAGAGTTCTCGCGTTTTGGTAACGTATAGCGGTGCTGTGCCCAGTGTGCGCGTGCGTCAACGTCCCGTTGGAGTATGCTGGGCCGTTCATGATGCACTCGTGGCCATTTCGCTTGCTCCACATATACCAAATCTGGTGTTACGTGACGTCAATAGATGACGAAGCTATATGACTGGTGCAAACATGATAATTATGACACGCGTGTCATGCGAGAACATGAAAACATACCACGTTCATAGCGTGCTCGCGGCCGTTTCGCTAGCTCCACATACACTAAATTTGGCATCACGAATAGATGACGAAGGTACATGACACATCCAAACATGATAATAATGACACGGAAGTCGCGTACAGCATAATTTATCTCTACTTCGTAACGTTGTGGTGATGTTAAAGTGACATATCAACCTTCACCATTCATGATTCGCATATCATCGATTCACACTGTACGTGGGATCTCCCATTTTTTTTCTTCCTCTTATTTTCTATAAAAAGGTTTGGCAGATTATAAAAACAAGAACATAATTTGAGCATCTTCGCCGAGTCCACCAAGGACGAGTCACAGAGGAGCCAGTGGGCACCTAGATAGGCCTGATTGGCCATACGCTTTCGCCCTCCCATGTGTCTTTCCTCCCTTGCTATACTATGCATGGTTATGCCTATACCTTACTGCATCTTTTTTTCTCTTCCTCTGTGAAGTCGTTCTATCGCCTTTTATGTTGCTCCCCCTTGAACCATAACAGTGCTGCTGTAAGCTCCTACAGCGCTTATGAATGAAGGAGTAAATTTAGGGCTCGTTTTTCTTATTAGACAGAATTTCTTTGTTATAGACACAGGCAAAGACTGCATATGTAACAGAAATTTGGTCAATCCCAGAACCGCAGTGGCACACTAAAAATTACAAGGAAACACACAGGTGGTGAACACCGCACGTTCCAGCTTCTCTTATTATTTTCTGTACAGAATGTTTGGAAGGTAATAAAACCTCGACCATGACCAGTCTGCTGTGAAATGTAACTATTTTGATGGATCTTCAGCTATTTAAGATGTAAAATGCTGTACTACAATGTGGCTAACAATTTGCGTCAGCAGTTAAAAAACCTCAGCCTGTCATACCCCACATAACTGTTATCAAAATTGGAAGAAAATATTTTCTCTAAAGAGTGAAGGCTTGTGATAGACGTATGTTACATACTTATATGGCGAAACGCGAAGACATATAGGACGAAGCAGAACAACAGAACTATAGGGCCTCTTGATTCAGTCACTGAAACATATCATGTACAAAACGAGAAGTTAATTTTAATCGTTAAATAACGCATAACCAGTATTGAGACCAGCACAGACTGCGGATACGCAAATTTTACTTTCGCCACCATAGAGAGAAATGAGAAAAACGTTAACTTTCAGATGTAACGCAACTCGACGTAGAATAGGTAACGTGCCGCAACAGTATAACTTGTTTATATCAAGGAGACATCAATACTGCCCGCTTATATTCGCTGACAGCGAACTGTTGATGGGCACCATCGTAGTGACGACTTTGCCGATCCTAATTGGTGTCACCGTTGAGTTTTGTCCAGAATCTCCGACCAACCAGCTATGCTTCTTTCTTGTCGATTGACCGGGTTTTTCGCCTGCCTCTGAAACCGTGCCTCGAAACGCGACTCCCGTTTCAAAGGTGCTGTAGTCTCCTGTGGCATCCGACATCAATTCCCCAAGACTGCTTCTGTCTGCACGCTCGTCCTTGGCAGACGTGGCTGGTGAAGCATGTGAGGATGCTGTCCCGGATAAGGCTGCACTCGAGGGAGCTGCTTCTCTTGCTGTACTGCTCCGGTTCATAGATCTAGAGTCGGGCGCTGTGCTTATCATGTCCGTCGACTCGCTTACGGTAGCCGTGTTTTCTGTAGAATAATATGCCACCGTCGTCGTTCTTGTCGATTGTATATTCTGCACCGTCTCTATCTCGAAACTCCTCAAGTCTAAAGTTATAGTGCTGGTGCTTGGAGAAAAACTGTTGACAAAGCTCCTGGCTTTTGACCATGGGGAGGCGCTGCTCCTTGTTGAGTCGGAGCCAACAGCAACCCTACCCCGGTAAGGGTCAGTACTCGATGTGAAGTTCGTACCTTTCAGCCAAGTCGTTGTCTCGCCAGCTGCTGACCCTGAATAGGAGGCATTACTAGCTTGATAGGAGTTATTGATAGCCTGATAGGAACTACTACTGGAGGTCGTATCAGTAGATCGATTCGCTATCACATTCCCCTTTGATTCTGAAGAGACTGAAGTGACGTTGGTGATACCAGGATGCGAAGCGTGGCTGAAGGCGAAGGTTCTGCTCAATAACGGGGTCGCTATGGCACCTCTAGATGACTCCGAAGTGGTGGCGGTACTACTCAACTGAGAAACAGTGCTCGTGATGGATGTACTGACCGACAATTCAAACTGTGTAGCAATTGAGCTTACGCTGTAATTTTTGATGAATTTCCTGCTTATCTTTCGCGTTTTCGGTATCCTGCTGCTAGGCTCGGCTGAAGAAATGATGTCAAGCAACAGTGATTTCGTACCCGACGTCTCGTCTGGACCTTCCGTACTAAACACAGTCGTAGCCACGGAACTCTCTTTTCTGGGCCCGAATCGTCCACGCTTGACAGTGCCGTTGTAACAGCGGTGAGAAAATTTCACGCTGGGGCCGGAGTCGTCCGGCTGAAGCGGTCTAGAAGGCAGCCGCAGGTACACAGGCAGGTCGGAAGCGAATTCGGCGGTTTCCTCTCCTGAAAGAACTCCGAATGAGCTTTTGACCACCATGGCGGTGGCAAAAGCTCCGACAAATACGATGCAGGCGATGGCTAGTGCTCTTATGTTCGGAGAGACATTCTGAAGACCTTACCACGGCGTTCCGCCGTGTACCAAAGACTCCTTGGAACCTCTGTCCGTGAACTCGATGCTGCTGTCGGCATCGCTCTCCGCACTGTTGCTTTGCGGCAGCCTGCACAGTTACGAGTGACTGTTTTGTTAATAAGGATCATTGCACAAAAGTGTGATTAGGCGCGTTGCCATATATTGCTTTATTTTTTTGAGGGGCAGGAAGTTGAGCCAAAAATTTTGTATGCTTATGTGTGTGTTCGTCTGGGCGCGTGGTTATAAAATAAACATGCATAATATGAATATTTTGGGAGGAGGTTGAGCACCCTCTAGGTTTCTTCAATTTAGTGCCTGAATAGATTACTTTGCTGAGTGAATTTCCTTAGTATGTAAGAAGTTGCCCCGCCGTGGTAATCTAATGGCTAAGGCACTCGGCTGCTGACCCGCAGGTCACGGGATCAAATCCCGGCTGCGGCGGCTGCAATTCCGGTGGAGGTGGAAATGTTGTAGGCCCGTGTGCTCAGATTTGGGTGCATGTTAAAGAACCCCAGGTGGTCGAAATTTCCGAAGCCCTCCACTACGGCGTCTTTCAGAATCATATGGTGGTTTTGGGATGTTAAACCCCACATATCAATCAATCAATCAATCAATCAATGTAATAAGTTGCGCCTTAGTTGTCACTTTTCCTAATTTGTCATATTTCTATGGTGAAAGCAAAAAGTACAGGAAGGCCAAATATGAGACGGTGGTATGGTATACTTGCTGCTAGCCTTTTATATTAAAGAGGCTGAAAGAAAGCTTGTTAGGCTAGAAACGAACACTGGATGTTTGTTATTTAGGCAAGCAACATAATACTTTAATCTCGTTCTCAGCGTTAAAACTTCTGAGTAATATATCGATACATATGCATTGTCAGGTTTGCGAAATGTAAATAATCAATAGCTCAGCTACAAAAATGACGCAATGAGTGACGTATTCTGAAAGCCTTCAGGATATAGAGTATCAAGATTAGCAGTGTGCATTGTTGTTGCTGGCGGATTCTTTCATGAAAGATTCGGCTGACACCGAACGTCAAGAGGAGAACTGAAACACAAAGTGCTCTTGCAGAGTGCTGTGAGAAGCGTTAACATGAAAAGAATTTTGACGCAGCTTCTGTGGTCGGCACTGAAACTCCTGGACTCATCAAGAGCACACCTGGGAACACCAGCCGATCACATAGGATTCTGAGCGATTCCCTGTGTGTATGCGCACGGCCTCTTACACGCGATGGAATGGCGAAGCCGAGGTGAGAGGATAAGACGCGGCTCCACTTCCACGATACTGTCCCCCCTGTAGTAAAAAGCGAGTACGTACGTAACCTTTGGGTTCATTTAAAAAGGTGTGACAGGAGCCATTTTCCATTGTAGCCTTGGTACAGTGGCAAAGTGTTTAGTCTTGATATCGCCAACGTAATACTTTTTTTAAGTTAAGAGTTTCACGACATTTTGTCTGGTCAAGTGCCATGACGAGGATGAAGATGCTTTGTCCAAATATTTATTTGCACACCTTGTACAACTACAGGGCCACATAAGAATAACGTGGTACCTATTGCCGACGAAGTGTCAACGCCAGATTGACATTTAAATGTAAACACATCTCCTTTACACAAGAGGCAGGCATGATAGTGAACGGCGAACTGCAGTAAAGCAGCAGATCTCTGTGTGATTATTAGAGTACAACTGCCTCGTCTCTTGACTCGCAGAAAGTTTGGGAGAGGTCCACGGGAGCTGTCTACCACGCGAAACAAAAGGTCACGTGGAGGGCCCGATTGTCGTTCCTATCAGGCTGCTACTTATGTTAACGTGTCGTAAATCTCACGTCCTAGGTAGAAGCGATAAGAATGAATCAAGGGTTTGTCTCCGACTTGGACGCAACCTTATGAAGCCAAATAATAGACAATGAACCCCAACGATCGGGCGCATTACCCGAAGAATGTAAGTTCAGTCCCTGTACCAACGGCAACTTGTTTTTTCGTCTATTTTAATTCATTTGCATTTCTGTCGTTATTACTACACTACAGTTCAAAACCAAAAACATAGTCTTCGCCAATCTTGCCTTAATTGTATGTTGCCTTTATTAGGTTACGCCCTTCTGTAGTACACTCAAGTACTGATTCAACCCTTAAATCCGCGTGAAGGTAAACCCTTCTTTCACCTATAAGGTCTGTTTAGCATTCCCTCCTTATTTACCATGGCAGTGGTAGTGCTGCAGTAAGGCTTTATACGTGTATTGTCAGAAATCTGTAAGCGTTGTACTGTATACAGCGCCCGACTACGATGACTATAGGAGTCGTCGAGCAGTATTCTCCGTTTGACGACTCTTCACCACTGCCCTGTGCTGTATTTTGCACGCATCTCCTGGGGGATGCCGCAAGCTTTTTTCAAAGTAAATCATTACACGCTGTGTTACGACATAATAATCTAATAACTGAGAAGGTGTCTGAACTAGTTCAGAGCTTTCAATGGTGACCCCAAACGTAAATGAATAACACTTCTGGGACTTGTGCTCGCTACAACAGTACTTATTTATTTATTTATTCATTTATTTATATATTTATTTATTTATTTATCCATTCATTCATTCATTCATTTACAGGATACCTGCATTGCCTCGAAAGCATCATCGCAGAAGTGACACGTTTAGTATCACATTCTACACATTTTGCAGTGACAAACAACAAACATATATGAAATAATGTTAATATCAAGTGAAACAATTGGTTAGCGTATTCTAAACTAACAGAGAGCTTTAAAAAACTAGGATAACTATACAATATTGTAAAAACAATCGGGAATAAAAATTACGAATATTATATACAGAAACATAGTTTTCAGGTAATCCGTTCCAATCTCGCATGGATTGTGGGAAGAAAGACACGGAAAGTTACTTTAGTTGCAACTATACCTGTGTGCTTTATTGAAGTGGTCCCGCTAAAGATGCCCAGCACAGTAACGTTTTTAATTTATTGGCACTTTGAAAAGCATCGTAGTTACTAAAGAAGAACCATGCATGCAGCCTGATTTTGAAGTTTGTCTATTGCTTGTATCAAATGGTATGCAATTTATCAAAAATACAATGCACCTTGGTGACGTATGCGACTCTGTAACGTAAGACTACAAAAAAAAACCATTTATTTATTTATTTATTTATTTACAGTACCTCAAAGGTTCAATGAAGGGGTTTTACATGAAGGGTGGGCTATCACAATCGGTTAAACGAGTAGATGCTCGATCGCTGCTTTGAAGTTGATTATACTGGAGAGGTGCGCAACGTGAGGAGGAAGGCCATTCCAATCTTGTGCGGTCTTGACAAAGAAGGATGAAAGGTGTGCAGTGGTGTGAGCTCTTGGTGGGTAAACAGCTTTCCTGTGATTGATGCGGTCTGAATGACGATGGGCTGGCTTGATGGTGGGAGTACGAGGCGATCCATGATAAAACTTGAAAAACAGGCACAGACGAGCTATACAGCGGCGTGACGAAAGGGTAGCGAGGTTAGCACGAGATTTAAGTTCGGTTACGCTTGACTGATATGAATAATCTGAAAAGATGAATCTTGCTGCCCGGCTTTGCACTGTTTCAAGTGTTTTAGTATTGTTACTCTGATGAGGGTCACAAACATGCGCATGCGTATTCAAGTTTTGGTCTGATTAGTGTCTGATAAGCGAGTAGTTTGACAGGGGTAGGAGCTAGATGAAGGTTTCGGCGCAGACAGCCAAGAGCACGGTTCGCTTCGTTAGTAATGTGCGTTATGTGAAGGGACCATGTTAAATCAGAAGAAAAATGGACACCTAGATACTTGTATGTAGCTACGCGTGAAATTTGAGTGTTGTTAATGAAGTATGCTGGAGATGGGTAGCACTGTCGGCGATGGAAAGAGACTAGTGACGTTTTGTTTGCGTTAAGGGACATTAACCACGTTGCACACCAGATTTCAATTTTATGAAGGTCAGATTGAAGTTCATGAACATCTGATGTGTTGTTAATTGGGCGATAAATGACACAATCATCGGCGAAAAGTCTGATGTTAGAAGAAATATTATTCGGCAAGTCGTTAATATATATGAGAAAAAGCAAAGGTCCTAGAACCGTGCCTTGAAACACGCCTGAAATGACGGGGCGTAAAGACGAAGAAAGATTATTTGCGTAAACGAACTGCTGGCGGTTAGTTAAAAAGTCGCAAATCCAATTGAAAACTAAAGGGTCAAGGTTGAGACAAGAAAGTTTTAAGAACAAGCGTTTATGAGGAACTTTGTCAAAAGCTTTTTCGAAGTCTAAAAAGAGCGCGTCTACTGGTATATTTACATCAATGCTAGAGCTAATGTCATTAGTAAACAGAGCTAGTTGAGTGTCACACGAAACACCTTTCTGAAAGCCATGTTGGTTTTTATGAAAGAAATGAAGAGGTGCGAGAAAGTTGACTATGTGGGAATAGATTACGTGTTCCATTATTTTTGAGCATACACTTGTGAGCGAAATGGGACGATAGTCTTTGGGTGAATACGAGTTACCTTTCTTTGGGATTGGAATGACCTTGCCTACCTTCCAGTCTTGGGTCACCACTCCAGATGAGAGTGATTGCTGAAAAATGTTAGATAAAATCACACTTGTTACAATTTTAGTGTTCTTCAATATTTTTGTGTTAATGCCATCTATACCCATTGATGAAGTAAGCTTTAACGAGTCGATTATCTTGGAAATACCATTGGCATGAAATACGATTTTCGACATGATCGGGTGGCATACAGGAAGGGCATGGGGAAGGTCACCGTCAGGTTCTATGGTGAATACAGAGCAGAAGGTTTCATTTAATACATGCGAAGTGTAGTGTTCAGGAATTGAAACATTTTGTTCGTCGCGTAGTGTAATGTTCGATGAAGGGGTAATAGACGATGGGTTAATTGTTTT